AAAAAAAAAAAAAAAAAAGTCATGAAGCGATGTGTCCTCCTCAGGACATCATATCGGGAGGCACATGATGTGTGTTTGTCCCATTTTGGGTGCTAACTTTGACCATTTGGTTAAAGTGATGTCACTCAGGTTTCTCCACTGTAAATTTACCATTTCCTCCCTTTGTAATTTTTAAATTAATATTTGTGAGGAAGATGTTTTGAGACTATGTAAATAGCATTGTCAGATAAAATATAGGGTTCTTTGAATTTCAATTTTAGATAAACAAAGAATAATTTTTTAAATTATTATTATGATTCCCTAAAATTGTTATTAAAATTCAAATTTAACCTGGGATCTTATATCTGCACCCAAATCACAATAAAAATTTTGAAAAAAAAAACCCACAAAAAACTGGGAATCTTACAACTTTATTTACTAAGCCTCGGAAACCCAAGGAGGGGTTGCTATGAGTCGAAATCGACTCCAAGGCAGTGAGCACAACCTTATGTGCAAATAGGAACTCTGATAGCGTAGTGCCTAAGGCACTTGACTGCTAACCAGAAGGCTGTGGTTCAAACTCACCAGCCACTCCTCGGTAGGAAGGTTGGACAATCTACTTCTGTAGCGATACCGCCACGGAAACCCAAAGAGGGGTCGCTATGAGTCTGGTCCGACTCGACGGCACATAACAACAATATGTGCAAATACCCTGTTCTTTATCAAACTTTCACCCAGTTATTTTGACATCCATTGATAATTCTTGCCTGAATCGATTTTTAGTATGATTTTGCAAAATGGTGATTTTCTAACTTCGTCATTCCTCTACATTTATTAGTTGGTATTCTAGTTGCCTGTCTTTTTATTCCACCTTTTACAGTGCCGGGCAGTTTCTAGCACAGAAGAGGCGCTCGATATTTGTTCAATCAATGAATGAACGAAATCTCACCGATGTTAGTTGGGCTTCCGAGACTCTAGATGCGTCAGGCAGGGGCTTGCCTTCCTCCGCCAATCACGGTAGGGTACTGAGGTTTTTCAAGCCTTCCAGGGCTTCGCTCCTGGCTTTTCTTGTTCCAATCATAAGCAAGGCTTTTGATATTTCGCTTACGTTTATTGAAGACAACCGATTGGCTGCTTCAGTTATACCAGGCCCAACAGACAGCAAGTGGAGTTGAGCAGAGACCAATGAGTGTTGGTAGGAGGCGGTGCCCGCCACGCGGCCGCGGTATAACCTCGCGACTCGCGCGCGCGCTTCTCTCCCGGCGCGGGCACCGGCACCGGCCATGGCCGCACGTTCCTTAGTGGCTACATTTGTTGCCCGGCTACTCCGGCCCGCGCAGAGCTGCAGTCCCCACCATTGCTCCCTCCACCTCTCGGTAGTACGGTAAGAGGGTTGGGGAACTGAACCAGTGCGGAAAGCCGGTGAGAACGGAAGGCGGGGGTTGCCCGAGGGTGTCCAAGGGGCATTCTTGAGAGTCTCAGCCGCGAGAGGGATGAGTGTGACGGGGCAACGTGGCAGCTGAGCACAGCTTGGACGCTGGCTTATCGCAGTGGGCTGATACCATGAACCCGACTTTCCGGGAGGCAGTCTCCCTCAGGGTCGGGGCGTCCCGCTGTGTTGGAGCCTGTCCGCCGGCGGGACGGGGCCAGTGGTGCAGAGCGAAGGCGCTGGTGGGTTGTGGCGCGTGATGAGTCGGGCCAGAGCCTACTGGCCTCCCTTGGCAGTGATGGGAAAAGGCAGAGGAGCGCTTTCGCGAGCGCTGGGAAGGATCTGAATGAGCAGCCTTCAGTGCGCTATCCCTTCCCGGGACCCTAGCGGCGGAGGACGTTGGTGCAGTCTGATGAAATCCCCGCGCCGGCTTGCTCTCTGGGTACCCGCTCTTCTCTCCACCTCTAGGAGGTGGGTGTGGCTGGCGCTGCTCTTCTAGCACCCCCCAAGAGAATAAATGTACTGTGGTCACCAGGGCTTTGACTGTAGACCCCACGCTGAGCTGGTTAGTGCCAGGAGGAGTAAATTAAGAAGAGAAATATCCAGGAAGAGGAAAGAAAAGTCTTATTTGCATTTCATTAGGGACGCAGTAGGTTTTTTCTGATGTTTCTGGACCTGAAGCTCTCATTCTTAAACCTAGGTTAGCTAGTCCTGTGGTCGTAGTGGTGGTGCCTGTGATTTTTCTCCCCAAATATGTTCACTGTCTATGTTGTCAACCTTCAGAGCCTTTTCAATGCCAGCCTCCTAAGCAGTCCCTTTATTCATCAAACATTTACCGAACCCTTACTGAGTGCCAGGCACTGGGGTCGGCTGTGGGAATTCAGAGATGAATAAAAGTTATTCTTTCATTGGTGGAACTCATGCACCTGTCTAGGAGCATAAGACTTGTAATTTCCACTCAGTGTGAAAGTGCTATAAGAGACATATCCAAGTTGCTCTTGACGCACAGAATGAGGATCGATGTGTTCTTGGCATTCAGGCTTTTCTTAGGCTGACCCTGACTTGCCTTTCCAGCCCAGTCTTTCATTACCCGCTTCTCCTCCTCACCCCAACCCCTTTCTTGAGTGCTGGCCATATATGCTGTGGACCAGTCAAGTCATAGGCTTTCATGATTGAAAAGAGATGTATATTGAGTCTTTAATTAATCACGTGAAAAACTGAAGCAGCTTGCTCACACTCTCCAGTAACAAATGTTCACCTTTGGCTTAGCTTTCTGAATGAAAAAATAGGCTTCCACATCTCTGAAGGCAAAACGTATTATCTGTATTGCACATCTGGTTACTGGGCTGTATTACTTTGATTACTGCTGGCTTCATAAATGTTAAGAGAATTACACTTTTTTAAACTAGGAACCTGCACATAGTCTTTTTTTTTTGGTTGGTGTGGGTTTTCTTTTTTCATATTGCAAATTTCAGGAACATAACTCTTGTAGAGATAGTAGTAGTATAGTCTAGGAGACAGTGGGCTACAGAGAAAAAGGAACAGGAACTTTGGAGGCAGAGGTTTGAGCTTACATTTTGTATCTACCATTCTTGGTTTCCTCTTCTGTATAACCAAACCAATTGCCACTTGGTTGACTCCGACTTATGGCGACTTCATGGATGTCAGAGAAGACCTGTTATTCATAGGGCTTTCAGTGCTGATTTTTTGAAAGTAGATTACCAGCCTTTTCTTCTGAGGTGCCTTGGGGTAGACTCAAACCTCCAACATTTTGTTAGCAGCTGAGCATGTTATCTGTTTGTGCCACTCAGATACTCCCTTATATATAACAAGATTTTTATAATAGCTCCAAGGTGATTGTGAAAATAACGTATGTAAAATTCTTAGCAAAATACCAGCTAGTTGCCATCAAGTCAGTTCTGATTCATGGCAAAATTATCCCCTTTTGTGTCATTCTTCGCTCAATCCTGGTTCCAGTAGTTAGTGGGTAACAGTAATTAGAACTCTTCCCAAAATAACTTATCATGAATTGTAAAATGCCTCATTAATTTTTCTTGGAGAATTATAGTACTGTAAGCTATTGAATTAGGAGGAAACTGAAGATGCTACTGAGTTTTGGTTTTGAATTTTTTTAAAACAATCCTCTCGACTTCTTTTTAGTCTGTTGATTCATTATTTTAATGGAAAAAATTTTAAACCCATCTGTGAAAGCATTTAGTTCTCAAATAAATGTTAGCTAATAGAGTTACAATTTTTGGATTCCCTGTGGGACTGAACTGAAACTCCATTTACTGTTAACATTAGGGTGGCAGTTACTTTATCTGCCCCTTGGCAGAGGAGTTAGGTAATGACTCATTCCCTAGACACTGTTTCACTTTTTACAGAGCTAAATATTATGAAAGATTTTCAATACATTGTAGCACTGTTTTTTGGTTCTTGCTACTCTTAGACAGGTTTTTTTTTCTTTTTTAAAGCAAATTGGCATAACATCCAGAACCTGTCTTGGAAGCTAAGATTGGGGCTTAGAACATTGGGTTCTCCTGGAAGCCTGTGTCCTTAGCTCTTTTTTTTTTTTTTTTTTCCTAGCCCAAATGTGCTGCTACTATTTAATCTAAGTATTTTGCCTTCAAAAGGAAGTGCCAGCTAAGGTTATCTCACTGAGTGTGTGTGTATGTGAATCTGAGAGAGTAAAACAATTAATTTTTATCAATTATATATGGCTGGCACTTTATATGTTATATCATTCAATATAAATGACCATGTGAAACAGAACTTAAATCTTTTTTTTTTTTTTGAAAAAAAAATTTTGTTGTTAAGACTGTACACAGTGTAACACGCACCTCTTCAACCATTTTCTACATGTACAGTTCAGTGACATTGTTAACATTCTTCAGGTTGTGCAACAGTTCTCACCCTATTTTTCCAAATTGTTCTTCCCTCATTAACATTCACTGTCCCCTAAATTTCCTATATCATCTTTTGAGTTGCTGTTGTCAATTTGGTCCCTTATAGATAGTTCTTAAAAGAGTACAATGCTCAAATGAATGTCTTTTTTAAGTAGTCTTTCACTCTACAGTTTGGAATGTATTTCTGGCCTGGGGAGGGTTTTCCTGGTACTAAGATAGATCAGAAATGTTGCCAGGGATATTGTACCAGCAAAGCTCTTTCAATGGCATCTCCTTCAGTTCTAATTCTGAAATGGATTTATAAATACTAAAATGTTTTCAAATCCTTAATAATATACCATCCAAAAACAAACTTGCTGCTGTCGAGTCAATCCTGACTCAGCAACCCCTCCTTGGGTTTCCAAGACAGTTTCTCTACGAAAATAGATATATTAAATGCTATTATGTATTTTGTATCATGCTAGTATCATTACATAAAATCTGGGCGAAAGTATTTTGTTTGCTATAAAATTATGAGACCTTGACACTTCACAGAATGCAAATACAGATTAATATAAAGTTTAGATAGGAAATTAATGCATTATGTCTAAGACGTTGAGATTTTATTTAAAATAAGTATTTAATCATAATGCATATGGAAAGCAGGTTTGATAACTGATTGTTAAAGCTTTAAAATTCCATTTTAATTAACAGTGGTCTTGAGAACTAATTGGAGTCCCTGAGTGTACAAATGGTTAACAGGCTGCTAAAGGAAAAGTTGCCAGTTTGAGTCTACCTAGAGGTGCCTTGGAAGAAAGGCTGGTGATCTGCTTCTGAAAAATCAGCCACTGAAAACTTTATGGAGCACGATTCTTCTCTGACACACATGGAGTCACCATGAGTGAGAATGTACTCCATGGCAGCTGATCTGCTGGTTTTGAGAATTGACCATATCTGACCATACAAAATACCCAGGAGCTTGATTGTCCCTGAGAATTAAATGTGTGCTATCAGGGGAAATTGATGTTTCATTGGTCTTGGAGGTTGGAAAAGTCCTCATGTGACACCTGGGGCAAAAACCTAAAGGGAACGCCTTGTTTTCAATGGGATGTTTTTGCATAAGGAACAGATGCTTATCTTAATTTAAGTAATGACCACCTTATTGTAAGGATGTGTGGGGAAATAAAGAAACTAGGAACCTCTTCCATTTGGACCTCATGGAACACTGGAAAAGCTTTATAAGCTGTTCTCATGGGAAGAAGGAGCTCTGGTGGCGTAGTGGGAAAGACATTTGGCTGCTGACTAATCAGCAGTTCAAACCCACCAGCTGCTCCATAGGAGGAAGATGAGGCAATCTACTTCTGTAAGCGATTTACAGCCTTGGAAACTGAATGGGGGTTGCTGTGAGTCAGAATCGACTCTATTGCAGCAGGTTTGGTTATTAATGTTTCATGGGAAGAAATATCCTTTCAGAGATCAGAACGAGGTTTGAATTTCCTCAGTGCTCCACCCCCAGCAGCAGTTTTCTGGCCCGTTGCTACTGTCTCCCATTAAGGTGACTGTTCTCTGTCTCTGCTTCTTTATGTCTTTGGTGTGTGGCTCCCCTTAACTGGCCCTCTGAGGCTTTAGTTTGAACTCTCTCAGAAAGAAGCTCTTATTAGTCCAGCTAACTATACTGTTCCCATTGGGCTTAGCTTTTGTATCACCTGCATTGTTGGTTGCCCTTGCCCAAATCCTCACTCGTGGTCCACATCAGCTGTGGAGGGGGCAGTGGGATTCTGAAGCAAAGCACACTTGTCACTTAAGAGAAGGATCCTCCTCTCATCCCCTCCTTCCCTCCATTCTCACCAAGATAGTCTTGCCCTGAAGGGGACTGTGGAGAAGTTTGACCTGCCCAGTATATTATTAGTTTAACTATATAAAAGAATTTGTACATTTAAAAGCATCATAAAAATTAAAAGACAGTAGACTAGGAATTGGTTTGAACATGATTGGGTGCAAAATACGAACTAAAAATGGCATATAAGCATGTAGGAAAAATGGTTTAACTTCGTGATGGTGATGTCAAAAACCAAAAAAAAAAAAAAAAATCCAAACCTTTTGCCGCGGAGTCCATTCCGAGTCATAGTGACCCTGTAGAACAGGGTGGAACTGCCCCATGGGGTTTCCAAGGCTGTACAGAAGCAGACTCCCACATCCTCTGGAGAGCAGTTGGTGAGTTTGAACTGCAGACTTTCAGTTAGTACTAAGCCAAGCACTTAACTACTGTGCTGCCAGGGCTCCTGGGGGCCGAAGAAATGCAGGTTAAAACAATGAAAAGCTTATATATAAAATATGTATTTGCTTATCAATTTGGCAATAATCAGGAGGCAGGATGGTATAGTGGTTAACAGCCTGAGCTCTGGACTAGGCCAGATCTGGATTTGAGACCCAACTTGGCCACGTACCAGCTGTCATTTTTTTTTTTTTTTTAACTCTCTGAGCTTCATATTAATGATGCTATTTCAGTCAACTTTCTCCTCCTAATCATGTAGCAAGACACAACTTGACCACTTTGAATCTGTCCTTTATATTTTGGTTGTCCCTCAGTTTAGGCACCGTGTCTTTTAATCTAAACTTTGAATTTTTGTTGTTTAATAACAATTTTTTTGTAGTCTGGTGTTTGCTTTGGACAAAAATTCAAGCTGTTGGGATTTGTGACTGTTGCCTTTTGTAGAAATGAAGCTGTTGTCATTTCTGGAAGAAAACTTGCCCTGCAGATCAAGCAAGAAGTTCGGCAGGAGGTGGAACAGTGGGTGGCGTCCGGCAACAAACGGCCACACCTGAGCGTGGTTCTGGTTGGCGAGAATCCTGCAAGTCACTCCTACGTCCTCAATAAAACCAGGGCTGCTGCAGATGTGGGTATGTGGTGCTCTCAAACTTCAACTGCTGCTAAATTGAGGTTTATTTCAGGCAGATTCCTTTATAATATTCTTTTTACTGATTAGAAAACACAAGCAGAGGAGACTAATGCAATTGAACTGTATTCAAAACTTTATCATAAAGAAATCAGGCTGTATCTGTTGAGGAAGCTGATAGACTAGGACAAGAGGAATGTAGCTGATATTCTTGGTGCCTTCTGAAATACAAGCTAAATTCTGTTCTTAGTCTTCGCAGTTGATAGACGTCCTTGACCACATTTTACATTTCCTTTCCTTGAGCAATAATGTGAGTCTCTTACAGAGGTGTTTGGGCGTTTACAGTTTAAGGCAATGGGGCGTTAGAGGGAAGTTTGAGGAGCAGTGATGTGGCACAGAATTACCACCCTTTGGTCATAGGTTTGGAGGAAATGACTCTGATTTCTGAGAAATGGCTTTCAATTTCTTCACTGATTGGTTCCAAAACCAGTTAAATTACGTAGTTCAGAAGTAGTTGGATTTTTGCTAAGATACAACTACTGGTCTTAACTTGTCTGTAACAAAAAAAGAGGAAGGAAAGCCAAGAATCAGAGACTGGACTACAAGAGTAGTTGTCTATATGAACCACTGCCTCCTCCACTTTGATACCAGAATTAGATAGTTCTCAGGTCCTACTGCTAAACATTCTGATCAGGAGCACAATAGATGAATCCTGGTAAAAAGGGAGAAAAATGTGAAACAGAACTTCAAAATCTTAAGGAATTTAGACTTATAACGGTGATGCTGTGGTTAAAGTATTTGGCTTCTAACCCAGAATTCAGGTGTTTGAGCCCACCAGCTCCTCTAGAAGAAAGATGAGGCACTTTGCTTCTGTAAAGATTTACAGACTTGGAAACCCTATGAGCCAGTTCTACTCTGCCCTGTAGGGTCACTATGGGTGGGTATCGACTCAATAGCAATGGTTTTGGTTTGGTTTGGATCTGTTGAGGCTGTTAGAGTCACTGAGACTGTGGCCCTGAGATTTTAAAACACTGAGTTGAAACTATCCCCTGAAGTCACCTTTAAACAGGTTAGCCCAGAGAGTCAAGACTGTCACTGTTGAGTAATGCATTTAAAAAAAATTTTTAAAAAAAGGTTAAAAATTATCTGTATAAGACCAAAGGGTCAACAGCTATTTCAAAGCATAGATGAAAAGGTTAGGGGTCAGGGGGATTCAGTAAATGGAAGTGAAACAATTAGAAAAGAAATAATGGGAATGTTAACACAATGTAAAGAGTGTAACCATTGTCACCAATCACTATGCTTAGGAACTGTGGAATGGGAGTGGGTTTTGCTATGTATGTTTTCACCAAAACTAAATTAAACAAAGTAGTTGTTAGATTTTTTAATGCAGACTGTGTAGGTCTGGGTGGTGGAAGGTTTGTGTTCTAGGTCTCACTGTGCCACACGCTACTGTGTGACTGCAGACAAGAGGTGGGTGGGCTCAGATGTGCCTCTGCCTACTTACACAGAGGCCAGTGTCTGAGTGCCAAATGCCCTTCTGCTCCAAGGGGACGTGAAACCCCTGGCTTAGATGGGCTAAGAGTCACTGGGCCATCGGGCTCCTGGAATACTCCATTCTTTATCCTTAAGGATAGAGATCTTCTGCCCTTGGAATCGAAAAACCTTTAGATACCTCTGGATGTCTGACTTTAAGACATTGTGAGGGAGCATGGCATAGTGGAAGGCAGGGATTTGGAACCTAAAAGATGTGGGTTTATCTTCTGACTTTGTCAGCAGCTGCCTTGTTATTCAATCTCTCTGAGACTCAGTCTCCTTGTCTGTAAACTGAGGTTCATGAGGACTGCATGGAATCATGTACGTAGAGGGTTCACATAGTGTTCGCTAATGTATACATTTGTGAAGTTACTTGTTTAGGTTCCTCATGAGCCAGTTCAGCTTTTCAGCAACAGGACTGTGTATGATGAACAGCCTCTGTGACAGAGGAGCATGGAAGGCAAAGCAGCAGTGCTCATTAAATGCCTAAGAGTTCTTTCCATCTTGCAATTTTCTTATAATAGGAATCAGCAGTGAAACAATTTTGAAACCAGCTTCGATTTCAGAGGAAGAACTGTTGAATTTAATCAATAAACTAAACAATGATGACAATGTTGACGGCCTCCTTGTTCAGCTTCCTCTTCCAGGTAAGTTTTGAGCTCTACCGTTTAAAATTATTTCTGTGGGGGTAAAAAGGCTTGTTACTTTATAAAACCTGGCCCTTCTGGAGGATTTGACTTAAATGGGGAGGTGAATGTTTGATTAGATATGGGACAGACCTGCTCAGAGTACCAGTTATCTTTGGATTTTAACTTGAGATCTTGGTTTAAAAGCCAGGGGAGGGAAGCAGTTGTACAGAGGATATTGGCTTTGATATCGGCATTTGATTTTGCTCGAAGTGAGTCCAGTTGGTGCAGGTGGAAAAGTAAATCATAGAGGCCAGGAATAGGAGGGGATTGGGTTTGCATGAGAAATCAGGAAAGCTGGAGTCAGACAGTGCTAAATACGTAACAGTGGTTCAAGGCTGATGCTCTGATTTCTTTTTCAGAGCATATCGATGAGAGGAAGGTCTGCAATGCTGTTTCACCAGACAAGGATGTTGATGGCTTTCACGTAATTAATGTGGGACGAATGTGTTTGGACCAGTATTCCATGTTACCCGCTACCCCATGGGGTGTGTGGGAAATAATTAAGCGAACAGGTAGGTAGACCTCATACTGGTATGGCTGTGTTAGTATTAGAAAAGTAATTCTTGAAAATGGTAAAAATTCATACAGTCCCAAAGAGTGGAAACTCCTGTGCCGCATCAACAATCCTACTCCCAGAAGTAACCACTCTTAGCAGTATCCTATGACTGTTTCTGCTATTTAATCTAGCAGCCTCAGTGAAGGAAACGTAAAATTTAATACTGGTCATAGAGCACATTCATGTAACATTTTGTAGTTTATAGGGTGCATCTCCTTGGTTGCACAATGGGTAAAGTATTCAGCTGCTAACCAAAAGGTCAGTGGTTCTAACTCTCCAGGCACTTCATGGGAGAAAGATGAGGCACTCTGCTACTGTAAAGATTTACAGTCTTGGAAACTCTATGGGGCAGTTCTGCTCTATCTTGTAAGGTCACTGTGAGTTGGAATTAACCTAATGGCAGTGGGTTTTTGATTTTTTTTAAAAAATGTAGCAAGAGGAGTTCCTGGGTGGTGCAAATTGTTCAGTGCTAAGCTAGTAACCAAAAAGTTGGTAGTTTAAATCCACCCAGCGATGTCTTGGGAGAAAGGCCTGGCAATCTGCTCCTGAAAGGTCACAGCCTTGAAAACCCTATGGAGCCCAGTGCTGCTCTGACACACTGAGATTGCCATCTCAGTCAGAACTGATTTGAGGGTCTGTGTAGCAAGTGATAGTTCCAGTTGGCTGATGAGACAATAGACTTAGTGACTTCCTGCATTGTCAGAATGAAAGCCATCTGACTTCGTTTTCCTTAGATGCTCATTCTAAGATAATCTGGCACTAGTTTTAATGCCAGTATATATTATTTTCACAGGAATTCCAACCCTAGGAAAGAACGTGGTTGTTGCTGGAAGGTCAAAAAATGTTGGAATGCCTATTGCGATGTTACTACACACAGATGGGGCACATGAGCGGCCTGGAGGTAAGGGAATTGCTGTTCTAATGTATCCTTTTCTCCCGCCTGTGAGATCTTCCTGGGTCTGAGTATTAACTGTGTGATACAGGTCTTTGTCTGAGAAGCTGTACTCAGTGGCACCAGAGAATATATTATTTATTTATAATGAAATTAGTTGAGAAATGAGTGGGCCTCATAAATTTCAGTTTGGGTGTTAACATACTTATAGAAATTAGAATTTTCCTTTAGTCATCTGTAATGACCTAGATAGACTTACATTTAGAAATTTTCAGTTGTGACTTTAATAATTAGAGCTAAGATACAGTTCTTAGTCAAAGATAGTTTCCCATTTGGTAGGAAAAAGTCTTAGATTATTGCAAAGACTTGAATTGTTATGAATGTAACGTGTCATATTTAAGCAGCTGTTGAGTCCTGTTTTGTTTGAGAAAAAGCCTTCTAAATCAATGTCATCCCATGTGATTATGATCTTACATGGTTATATCAGAAACAATGGCAGAAACCTTTCTAGATAATACCTTGCATAGTTTTTTTTTTTAAAAAAACCTTGAGTAATTCTGGTAGTATTTTACTTAGAAAAGGTAAAATCTTGAAAGGCTATTAACTAAGATAACAAATTCAATCACACATAACTGCAAAGGATAGAGCTAGGATTAATGGGTTAAAATTAAAAAACAAATTTTTTTTTAGTCTAGTATTAATTAAAAAAAAAAAATGAGAATTCTGTCCAGAAAATGTGAGCTCTGGTGGTATAGGGCCTAAGGCATTTGACTGCTAACCAGAAGGCTGGTGGTTCAAACCCACTGGCCACTCCTTGGAAGGAAGATTGGGCAGTGTACTTCTTCTGTGGTGATACCGCCTCGGAAACCCAAGGAGGGGTGCTGTAAGTCGGATCTGACTCCGTGATAGTGAGTTTGGATTTTTTTTTTTTTTTGGTTTTAGTCCAGAAAATATGACAGAAGTGTTAAATCAGCTATTTCTCTCAAAGATACTGAATTTCTATAGTGGCATGATTAATTGAGACCTAACATGCTCAGGGTCAAGGCAACTAAGGAAAAAAAAAAAAGGTAACATTTTGAACTGTTTAAAAAGGTAGATTTGAGGGGTATGTGTATGTGTTGTAACTGAATAAACAAATAATCCCACCTTTGATTTAGAAATCAAGACACCTGTTTTTCCTTCACAGGTGATGCCACTGTTACAATATCTCATCGATATACTCCCAAAGAGCAGTTGAAGAAACATACAATTCTTGCAGATATTGTGGTGTCTGCTGCAGGTAAGAACACAAGGGAGGGTGACAGAAGGACTTCCCCCTCAGAAGGGTGAGGATGCACCCCTTATGTGTTGTGAGTGGAGAGTTTGCCTGCCTCCCTGCTATTCTTTCATCATTCCCCTAGAATGAGACCCTGAGTGAGCTGTTTAAAAAGATGGGGATACAGCTGTGGTTGGAATACTGGTTTTCAGTATATCACCATAGACTGGATAGATCAATGTTGTTTCTCATGCTATTTACTATAGAAAGTTTAAATATGTCTTATTTTTAATAGGTTTTTTTATAAAATGTCAGTGAATCTGCCAGCTCTGTTGAAATTGAAATTAGGCAACTATCAGAATTTCAGTACTAAGTAAATTAATCGTTCCTATCTCCCTCTGTCTAGGCATTCCAAATTTGATTACAGCAGATATGATCAAGGAAGGAGCTGCTGTCATTGATGTGGGAATAAATAGAGTTCAAGATCCCATAACTGCAAAACCCAAGTTGGTTGGAGATGTGGATTTTGAAGGTAAGTGGTATAATTTAAAAAAAATTAAATCAGTAAATTCTATTTTTATTTAAAATAAAATCAGTAAATGCTTCCCTTAATGGACATTTAAGATGGATCATTTTCTTCTCCTTTGACTTTTAAACTTGTTTCCATCATAGAACCAGTTAAAATGCTTTCCATTTAAGAGATGCTTTCCATTTTAAATTATAGCCATTTTAGAATTATTTTAGGTGTTTTTGGGATAAAATTACAGAGAACAGGTATAATCTTTTCAGGGAGTTGTTTGTTTATTTTTTTAGGCCTGTTTCCTAGTTGAAACAGCTTTGTGACTTTTATATGTCTGAAAATTTAAGGAAGTGATTTTTTCTAAATCACTGAGTCTTCTTAAAAGGGTTATAGATTTCTCATTTTCACATTGAAAGGAGAGAGATTATAGACCTGGATTGTTAGAACAGTCCAGGAAAATGCCACATTCCTGAAATTTTGGAATATGCTGGTAGATTTCTCCTTTCAGTTCTTAAGTTACCATGTTTATCTGAATTTCATGCTGATAATCCCCTTTCTTGCCAGACCAAAAGTAGTCAGACCTAAGCATAGATATCTAAGTATTTATTTTCCCTTTTAAGATTGGGTTAGAACAGTATTACTATAGTTATACCTCCCACATAGTTTACATACTGAGATTTTTTTTATACGTGGATTTAATGGGAAGGAAGCGTATGTCTGGCTGGTCAATTATAGGTTATTCAGATATACAAATATTCATTGAAAAACTCTGCTCATTATTTGCATGTTATCTTATTAATGTATTCAAAACCTTTACTCTTGAGTAATGGAGATGAGATTATTTGGTGTGTGATTATAAAGGTACTTGTGGAAGGAGGACTGGGCATTCTACTTCTAAATATTTACCACCTTGGAAACCCAATGGGTTGCTGAGTTGGAATCGACTCGATGGCAGTGGGTTTGGTTTTTGGTATAAAGGTGCTTATGTATGTCTTTACTTTTTCTTTGCATACTTCTTTCATAATATGTTAAAATACATTTATTTTGCTATAATTAAAGCAGAGTACCTTTCCTGTTTGTATGTAGGAGTCAGGAAGAAAGCTGGGTACATCACTCCAGTCCCTGGGGGCGTTGGTCCCATGACAGTGGCAATGCTAATGAAGAATACCATCATTGCTGCAAAAAAGCTGCTGAGGCCCGAAGAGCGGGAAGTGCTGAAGTCTAAAGAGCTTGGAGTAGCATCTAATTAACTGTTGTGTCATCTGTGTCATCAGCAGCATTCCAAGCCAGTTCATGAAGCAAAACAGGCCAATAGAAATGCAATATTCTTTATTTATTGTAATGAAATGGTTTAAAGTAATGCTTTGTATTTATTGAAAGCTTAAATGGGTGGTGTTTGCACACATAACTTTTCAGTACCTCACAGGGGAGCACTCCAGTGTCATGCTGGGTCTAAGGATCTAGCCAAGAGCAGCCATTAACTGAGTGATTAACATGGGGACATTGTCACATTGAGAATGGATGTTTAATTTTTGTCAAGCCACTTCAGTTGTTAAAATTTGCTTTTTCTAGAATTGGATTTCCCAAGTGCTACTCCAATGAGTTGATACTTAAGGTTGTAAACCTGTTGAGTTCAACTGGTCAAACCAAAGGAAAAATGTTGGATATAATTGGGAAAAAAGATAAAAAGGAAGAAATGATAGTAATTGGGTATAAAAAAATCACCCTGATTTATACACGTATTGATTGTCAGGTTTAAATAAAATTGAATTGGATCGGAAGGAAGCAAAGCTACATGTTAATAGTATTCCTGAGCTATCATATTTTATTTGAAAAGTGTTTAAGGTGTTTCTGTTTGTTACTAGCTCTTGTTTTATGTCCATTGTTACTCAGTGAGGTCTTCCATTTTAGTTTTCCAGGACTGAAAGACTTATTTTATAAATTATTCATGTGTGTTGTCATGTTTGGCTTTTGCTATATCTTTAAACTTCATTGTTAAATTTTTGTACTATTAAAAGGTATCTATATGGTTTCTTGATATATCTTGAAACCTGTTTTTGAAAAACAAAACTGATACAAAGCTGGGCTTGATAATCAACAGGCAGCTTGTGTAAGTATGCAACTTATTTTTCCACCAAAGAATTGTCAGTAGCTGCTTGCTTTTTCTCTGATTGATGTACCTATTGGCTTTCCTGAAAGGTTTTTTTTTTTTTTATGAGCTTGAGTTAATAATTGAATCTAACCAGACTTTGATTAAAGCTTTTTTTTTTACTTTATTATTATTTTTTAATAAAACACTTCTGTCTGATGTGGAATGAGTTTCTGAAACATTGCACCATCCTACTGCTGTCTCAGTTGTCATTTAACCTGAGTTAATTTTTCTTACTGAATGTAACCAGTCTAGGTATTCTTAGATTTGGTAACGGCCAACCCTAGCTTTGAACTAATGGGTCGAAAGAGCTGTGGCGAAACTAGCCTTGTGCTTTTAGACTTTTGTCCCAACAGGTTGTGCTGTGCCAGGAGCTTCATCTATAAGATTCATTTAAATGGTTACTATTATTCTCAATGTTTCTGAACAATATGCTCAGTTGACACATTGCTATCAAGGACTTCTTGATGTGCTTGCCAAGCTCTCTCTTTCTCTCTAAATATTTATATATTTTTTAAGCATTAATTTGATTCTACAGCTTGGATTGGAAGTGGTTGCTGTGCATGTGTTGAGGCTGGGGTAAGAAGGTAGTGTATTCTCAGCCAGGCTGTGTATTTGGACTTTCATGAAAGCAGAGGCCGCTCTTGCTCTAGGCAGCTTGAGGCAAGAGAGAGAACAATTGGAAGTTGCCCTGCTTCCTCTTTGTTCCTCTGCCAGCTGGCTTTCTTTTGATAGTTCGCTGGAGATGTTTTTATAAGTGAGGTATAGCTCAGGTCTGTAAGCCATGCCTGCTGATTTACCTAAATTATTAAACATGACGCAAGATGAACAGATAGGATTAAGTTTTATTGAATTACGGTTACATTACAAGTGGAAAAAAATTACTGACCTATTGCCTGGAGAAGTAACAATATGACAACCTGATAAAAGCTACTGAAATTAAAATGTTCATGTATTTACAAAATCCAGATGACATAGAAGATGAAAATTACAGTGATCAATTTACAACAACAAAAATTAACATTGTAGTTTTCCAGCTTGTTTGATTAATCAAGCACATTTACTCCTGAATCCATATTTCTACAGTTTAATGTGGACAAAGTGCTATACCAAATCAGCCAGGTTTTAAAACTGAAATGTTAAGAGTAGATTGTTAGCTCTCCTAGGATTGGCACAGATGAAGATAAAGAACTTAGATCTAAAATGAGGGGGTGGTTCTGGATTAATGAACAACTAAGTGAGTCTGTTGCTTTCAGTAGAAATGATAGAGGTTTTTATAGCTTTACCTCTTGGCAGTATCCCTTGGAAGGGAGCTCTGAGATTTAACTTGACCAGCATTTATGGAGAACTTTCTAGGGACTGGGCCCTGTACTATGCTCCAGGTATTACAGAGGCATTAACTGTCCTGATGCTCAATGTGTTATGATCTAGTGTCATTTGTTTTAAGGAAAAAGAAAAGCACCTGTGTTTGTCATTTTGAGTAAATGTAGTAACTAACCAAGATACTTACTCTCCATGCTTGTTTTGGAGAAAGTAAATGACAGATGCATTGTTTTTATGTATAGATGTCAGGCACGTAAACATGACTGGAGTTTGTTAGATGTGGTGTGAAGATAAAATGGCTGATAGTAAGTTTCATGGGGAGAAAATTTGCTTCATTTTTTTCACTGGTCTTACTCTACCCAGATTGCATCCAATTATTCCTCTCAGATACTAGTTTAATGGGCATTGCAAAGTTACAGTCTTTCAAAATTTGACATTAGCTCTGCCTAACATGTAATGCTTTTATGAATGGGTCTTGGACTTTGGAAGTCAGGCCATTGGAAATTTACAGGAAAGACCTACTGAAATGCATTACAAAAATTTGGTTCGGACGTGAAAGAAAAACCAGTGGTTCTAATTTAAAAGATCATTTGTTGCTTTAACATGTGTTTTGAGATTTCACTTTATCAAAACCTATTTCATTGTAAAAGCATTTATCCACTCAGATGTGTTTGTTCGTTCATTAACAGACTTTGGAGCTGGCTTTTCAATCTGACCCAATCACACTTCTGCACCAGAGCAAGGCCCATAATGCAGATGGTTCAGACTTTTCATACAACCCTCAGAAAACTGAATGGGATGGGAAGAAAATATTGGAGCTTTTTGGCATTTCTTAATGTGTAAAATAGCAAAACCAATTTTCCAACCATGGCCTATTGAAGTATTCAGTAGTTCATTTAAGACCATCTGAGTTACTTTTAAATCTAATCTTTAAGAGAAATCTTACCTGGTATTTGTTTCAAATAAAAATCAACTATTGCCTCTTTATCTTAGCAATGGTTTTGGGAGGCAAGTGTATTTTTTATTTGTTTCAAAAGAAAGGTTATAATATCTATGATGGATTGCCTTTTAAATTATTAAAAGGTGCATTTTAAAGTAAGGTAGAGCATTCAGCTTTCAGTTATTAACTACAAAGTTTCAGTTACTAACTACGAAGAGGAGAGCGTTGCATCTACGTGGTAATTTTCATCCACAAATCTCCAGCTTTCTATCAAGGAGACTGATTCCCTCTGATGAATAAAGAAACAGCATAGAGCAGTTAAGGGTTTTGACCCAGACTCTCATAATTAAGACTAAGCCAAGCCCTCACTCTGTCCACCAAATGGGAGAAACTGTGTCTTCCTACAGAGTGGTCTCGCCATCAGCTTCTCTTCGATATTTATCCACCTCCATGTCCGTGAAGTCATAGTCTGACTCCATCTCTATCTTCACCTGGGGCATCATGAAGACTGGGCTTCGTGAGTAGTTGAAAGCAGGTGAAGCTGGACAGGAAATTTTGAAGTGCAAGGTGATGCTGAGGGAGAAAAGGAAGGAAGGAGAAGGGAAGGGATTTGCCTAGTATTTTGCATTTTCACACTAGCCTCAGAATAGCTCTCTAATGCAAATAGTTCTGTCTGTGCTTATAAACTCTTAACACATCACGGAAGCCAGCAGCACCCTCTGCTTGACTTCAGCCACAGTAATTGAACTTGTCTCACCTGGTTTCTACCTTTTCTTTTAGTTGTTGCCAAAGTAAACTTTCTAAATCACAAATCTGATTGGGACTCTGCTTTTATTTTTCCATAGTTCCCCACTCTCAGAGTAGAATCCAATATCCTCAGAAGGTGAGGTCAAGGCCTTCTGTGTTTATACTCCTGCTTACATCCAGTCTGACTGAACGTTAACTACTCCCTACCCCTCACAGTATTCTATGCACTCCTTGTTCTGTGTGTGTATGTTTGTATGTGTTTTCAATGTTATATCAAGGTTGTTTCCATTACCCTAAATGCTCTTCCTTGTTTACTTTTTCCCACTCTCTACATCTGGCAGATTCCTATTTATCCTCCCAAGCTTTGCTCAGGTTAAAATTTGCTTCTGGAATTTTCCTAGATTTTTTAGGTAAGGCTAATCGCTCCCCTAGCCCATTCTGTTGTCCCATTATTGTTCTTGGCACAAGGTGCTTGCTGTATCTGTTTACTTGCCTGCCTTTTTATATCAGGGATTAAGCATCCTGTCTGGTAGATAATTGATGCTTAGACTTTGATAAAATAGATTGTATTTCTGAGCCTTTCTCTTCACTGAAACGGATTCTTACTATTTAGCCGTCTTTGCTTTCCTCTATTTTCATAAGTTCAGTAAAACACCAGTGTAGCTGGGAGATGCCATCTCCAAATGTCAAATGTCTGCATTTCTGACCTTAGACTGGCTTTCTGTGATTTAAGAGATTTCTTCAAAAGGCCTTCTCCTAATCCAAGTTCTCCATTGCCTGAAATTGGGGCAATTAGAGATTTCATTTAGTGCAAGTTATTTTTAAATGATGATAAATCAAAATAGACAGACTGCTTTTCTCCTAACACATTTAGATGTAAAGAGCTTACAATTAGGGGCCCCTGACTATGGAAGTGGAAGGTGAAGGTAGGTGGTATGGGTGGGGACTAGATCATCCTTGGGCCCTGTTCTGGTTCCCTAGGGCTGCTCTGACAAGAGTATACCACAAATGGGATGGCCTTAACAAACAGGAGTTTATTCTTACAATTTGGAGGCTTTAAGTCCGAGTTCAAAGTGCCAGCCTCTAGGGGCTGGGTGAAAGCCCCTCAGCCTTGGGCTTCAGCTCTGCCTCCTGTTCCCAGCCCACTGAAGCCAGAGGCTTTTCTTCACTCAGACAGCTGCTGGCTGCTGAAGCTGACAAGCCCAAGGTTGACAAGTAAAAAGGCACAGAACCAATGTTACCAAACCACATGACAGGCCATTCATTCAAGTCCATTGAAAGTCCCAAGGTCAGCAGAGCATGGCAGGTTGCTGATCAACAGACACAGCTACATGCAGGGTTCAAGGTGCCATAAGCTAGAGACCATTCTCAAAGCTGTTTCTTATACATGGGAAGCAGACCACATACCCAAAGCAGCTACTCAGCTGCTCCGGTAGATTCCACCATGGAGTTAATTACCAATCTCACCATAGAGAATAACTACATTCAGCTGCCCAGCCACTCAACCAGGCCCAGCCAAGTTGACACACAAACGTAACCACCACAGGCCCGCTGCTGAGGAATGATTGTACTGATGAAACATTTGTCTTCTCATCCTGACATTGTGGTAATAGCTTTGACTTATAATTCAGAGGATCCCTTATATGTTTCCTAAAAGGTCTTGCATGAGTGCCCTTTAAGTCTGGAGATTGACCTGCCTCCAGATGTGAAATAGCTTTGCTTTTACTGTTTTATCTAGTACTGAGGGATTCCTATCCATTTGAAGGGAGTAGGAGTGGTAGTGCCTCTACCGTCTTCCCTAGCAATGACTGAGGCAAAGACCGTCTTGCCTCTAATTCCTCTTTTTTTGTTTTTGAGCCTCTGTGTGTAAACTAGTGAACTCACTTTTTGCATGAGTGGCTCTTCATTGAAAACCAAGGGATCTCACTGTTGGCATGGGGCTCCTGGAACCTGAGCCTTGAGTCCTTTCTAGATTGTTAGTCTAGTTCCTATCTCCATTTCATCTTTGATATTGGTTTTCCTTGGTAACCTTTCTCAAAAAAACCAAACTCGCTGCTATTGAGTCTATTCTGCCTCATAGCTATAAATCTTTATGGATGCAGACTGCCTCATCTTTCTTCCATAGAGAAGCTGATGGTTTTGAACCACTGACCTTTTGGTTAGCAGTCAGATGCCTTAACCACTACAACACCAGAGCTTGTTTGGTAATCTTTCTGACCTTTGCTAATTACCCATGCTGTTACTTTATTCCTTAGAGTATTAGAGTACCTGGTCTTTTGATCCTCAGAATTACTTCATCCTGGCTTCTACTAATATATACTTAAATCATGTCTAGGTTGTTTATTCTTCCTCAGTATTTTAAATTACTGTTCTACCTAATATTTTGTAATAATTTCATTGTCAATATTGAACAACGTTTTGTGTTGTAACTTATGTCAGTAAGAGGGCAAATTTGTTACCTGACACCAATAATCAGATCTGTCAGGATTTGTCTCCAAGTGGTGGACCACTAAAGGCCTTTTACCAAGACATTGGCTAGTCTGGGAAATCCTAGTCCCTTCAGCCTTCTTGGCTGTTGTTTTGTCTCTTATCTAACACCTAAGGAGTATACCTACTGGCTTTTACCTTCGATCAAGTTCTGAGTCACTGAAGGAAGAATCAGAGTGAGTAACTCCAACTGGAAGATCTTTTTCCTGCCAGGAAAATTAACATGTCAGATGGGACGCAGGTATGGGGACTATAACAGAGAACAACCTATTTCTCCAGTGCCCCCATTCCACCCATTTCTTCTATTCTCCAACCTTGTGGCTAAAACTAAATAAGAGGTGTGCTGGCATTAATCCACTGCCTACGCAATGGGTAGGATGGACGAGAACTCTCCCAGGAATGTTACTCATCTGACAGACAGATCTGTCACAGTAATAAGTCATTTGGAAATGAACCTCAGGCAATAGCTATTGTTGATACAGAAAATAAAACTGTGTAACTTGGGTGGCTTCTGGTTCAATGATCTCTTTATCCAGAGGGCTTTTGGCCAGGTTATGTGGGTTTGAGGTGTGGGGAGGACCAAGGAAGAGTGAGAAAGAATGACAGAAGTATACAAATGGGAATTGGGGAAGGAGAGTGAGAAACTCAAAAATAAGAGGTTGCTAGGATGGTGAGTGGGGATAAAAAGTCCTTCAAAGGCCCTTCTGGGTGCTGATGAGTGCCCCTGGCTGCTCAACCCTAATCTGGGGCTTTGAGGAAAGTGGCAAGCCCTATATTTAGAGCACTGGGGTGGTGATCTAGGCTGGGATCTTTCCAAATCCTCCCAGGCCAGGATGTGCCTTGATGATACTAGGGAGCTGAGCCTGAGAGGGACAGAAACAATCTCCCAGGATCTTCATAAGCAATGTCTGACCCTCCCCGCCAGCTTTCCTTTCAGCAGATGAAATGTGCTTTGGCTTATGCAGAATCAGAACCCAAACACTGGGACCTTCAATTCTGATTAATTTGTAATCCACATGTGAGCTGGTTGTCTAATGGGGACAACCTGACCCTAATTTGAGCTCCCAATCATTTCAACAACCATTGGAGAATATGAGCTGGTTCAGTGGGCCATGTTTGGGTTGACTTGGTGTGAAACTAATCCAAGAGAGCAAATGGAGAGAATAAGTGTTTGGCCTCAAGTGAAGATTGATCATTAGTGTCTGCAGGGTTTGATTTGGGGTTTCCATCTGATTGGAGTCCCAGTGCTTGTTCTCAAAGCCCAGTTCTCTTTGAACTCTGCCTAGCACAGGAGTTCTCTAGCATCCAAGACCATTAAACCCCCATGAGTTAAAAGATGGAAGTTCCTCCAGAAGAAGTGTTGGAGGATTAGTAAAAACTAGGAAGGGAGAGATACCATGTGTTTTTACTTACTGGCAATGCAGTGAATACCATTTTGGGGATCTGATTGGACACTCTCCATGGGAATCTTTATAACTGAGGGAGGAGGGAACTGGGGCTGGAGAGAAACAGTGGGAAAAGCTGATAAACACCACCAATACAACAGCTGTGGCTTTCTTTCCAAGAAGGAAAATACATGCATCCACAGTAGGCAAACCACCATCCTCTTCACATCCAGGCTAAACAGTTAAAGCAAAAAAACCAAACCCATTGCTGTTGAGTCGATTACAACTCATAGCGACCCTATAGGACAGAGTAGAACTGCCTTATAGGTTTCCAAGGCTGAATCTTTCTCCTGCAGAGTGGTTGGTGGGTTTGAACCACTGACTTTCAGTTAGCAGCCAAACACTTAACCACTGCACCACCAGGGGTCCTATTAAACAGGGCTACAAATACTCTGGGCCCCATTGTGGGGAAACGCGGACAGTTAATCCACTGCCTAGGCAATTGGTAGGATGGAAGATAATTCTCCCAGGAATGTTACTCATCAGACAGACAGATCTGTCACAGTAATGAACCTCAGGCAATAGCTATTGTTGATATATAAAATAAAGTGAAAATTGAATTCTATTTTTCCATTGAATATATCATATAATCCAGAGATGCTTTTTTCCAACCTTGGAATAGTTTCTGGCACATGGTAGCCACTCAAATGTTTATTGAATGAATCAATGGAAGGATAAATATGTCTTTAAAAGGCAATTTGACTCAATTTTTTGTTTTTCTTTTCTTTCTCTAGAACCTACCTTTGTAAATCATCTACCAAAAAACATGTGAGTAAATTATAGGACTTTTCTTTCCTAGAAGAAGACAGTAATCAAGGACTAGGGAGGGTTTGGCAGATCACTGCCATCAGAGAGGTGGTTCATTTGTCACCCTTTCATCAGCAAGGATTTGCCTTCGCCTGTGAAGAGCTTTCAGTAGAACAGGGTAAGGTGGATGCAGGGAATGGGGTTTGGATCAAATTGGGAGAAAGGGAGCCAGACATGGTATAAGGAGATGGCACAGAGAGCTTAGTATACTGGGAGACCATCATCAGGTTCAAAGTTGGGAACTATTCCCTCTTAGACATTTAGCTCTATGTCATTTCCCTTTTGAGGTACAGTCTCATGTGTAATGAGCACTTGAACCAGAAACTCTTTCAGCCTAACATTTTGTGGTTTACTATAATTTATGCCCCAGTTCCTTGTCTGTTTAGTCCTGCATGTTTGGGGCATGGGTAAGGAGGAAGCCTGGGCTAAGAGAGGGGTAGATAGGGCAACCAGGTGGTCCCAACCATCTGAGGAATACAGTCACTTTCCTTTCTGTAGAGCCATACCTCTCCCCCACCTTTCTCTACTATGCCCTTGGAGTTGGCCAGGCAAACCTGCCTGTCAACAAGGGGTCTAGTGTGTGCCCTCTCAAGAGTCTCCGTCAGACTCCTCCTTGACACCTCCATTCTCTGGAGGTTAGTCCTAACTTCCTTTCAATGATGGACCCTAATCCTTTGTCTGATTCTCTCAGGGACCTGCACTGCTGTTGATAGCTCCCAGTAATGGGACAAGTGAGCACAGCCACATTTTTCCAGGGAGGGGTGCTCTTCACTCTGGCTCACCCTGAGGATATTCACATGAACAAGTGAGCTCTGAGCACCCTAGACTGAGGATAAGCAGAAATTTCAGCTCAACCTGGACTGGGCCCCAGAGTGTTGCAGGACACCTGAAGAGCCACCCGCTTCCTGGCCCTGACAGCAGTGGAGGGAAGGTCTCTTGATCTCTCCCTCTGCCCAGGCCTCACATTCTTCCCACCTCCTCATCACTGTCCTCATGGGTCCCCTTCTTTCTCTTCTTCTTCTTGTCAGTCTCCTTTTTCTCCTTCTCTGGGAGGACACTGTCAATCCAGGCCAGATCATGCTGGGAGAAGATGAGGTCCAGAAGCCTTCGGACAATGATAAGGCCCAAGATCTGTGCAGGGGGAGAGATAGGGGGAGACAGACAGACTGAAGTTTTGTGGGAGTTCAGAGAGAGCTGTGGACTCAATGTTCCATAGTTTGGCACAGTTTTTCCCCCTTACTCAGCTAGTTCAGGGACTTTTTCTGGTCAGATGGCTTTGGAGCCATCTCAAAGCTCCTGCATAAACCACTATTCACCCTACTGTCCACTTTGGTTCCTCTTATTTGGCCTTTCCTCAGGTGAATGATCATGTCTACCAGTGACAGAGGGACAGGGCCTGTGATCAACTGAAGGAGGAGATCAGGGTCTAGGGAACTATGTTGTTCTTGGCTGTCATTGAATCCCTGACTCATGGAGGCCCCATGCACAATGAAATGAAATGCTTGGTCCCGTGCCATCCTCGCGATCGTTTGCAGATGGGATCACTATGATCCATAAGGTTTTCACTGGGGATTTTCAGAAGTAGATCACCAGGCCTTTTCTTCCTCATTGTCTTATTTGGAAGCTCCACTGAAACCTGTTCAGCATCATAGTAACTCGGAGGCCTCCACTGACACACAGGTGGTGGTTGCGCAGGAGGTGCATTGGCCAGGAATGAAACCCAGATGTCCACATGGAAGGTGAGAACGCCACCACCAGTCTTTATAGCAGTGGTTTTCAAATGTTAGTCTGCATCAGAATCATCTGAAGCACCAGTTGCAACACAAGATCGCTAGGCCCTATCCCCAGAGTTTCTGACTCAGTAGGTCTAGGATGGAGTCTTAGAATTTGCATTTCTAACAAGCTCCCACATGATGTTGATGCTGCTGGTCTGGCGACCACACTTTGAGAACCACTATAATTGACTGACTCCTTTCTGAGAGCTGTAAATCTCTCTATTAACAAAAGCTGACAATCTGAAAGATATACTGGGATATCTGGACTTTTTTTTAAATTTGTATTTTGGTCAAAGTTTGCAGGGCAAATTGGCTTTCCTTTGTATAATCCGTACACATTCTGTTTTGTGACATTCACTGCAATCCCCACACTTTAACCACATTCTTCCCACTGCCTTCCTATGCCCACCCCTTCATCTCCTCCCCATGCCCTTCTGCCTTCCTAGCTCTTTCCCTGGGCAAATCCTGCCCTTTTGATCTCATATAGTTGATCTAATGAGTGCATACCCTCCTGGTATTACTGTTCACCATATAGGCCTATCTATAGTTTGGCTGGAGCTCTGGTAGCGTAGTGTTTAAGGCACTTGACTGCTAACCAGAAGGCTGGTAGTTCAAACCCACCAGCCACTCCACAGAATGAAGGTTGGGCAATCTACTTCTGTAGAGATACTGCCTTAGAGACCCAAGGAGGGGGTCACTATGATTTGGGTCCGAATTGATGGCACATAAGAACAACATAACTTGGCTGAAAGTTGAGTCATGGAGGTTAAGTTCAGTTCTCAGCTTGAAGGGTATCTTAGGGCTATAGTCTCGGGGGTTCCATCAGTCTTCATCAGACCAGTTGTTGTTGTTGTTAAGTGCCATGAAGTCGTCTCCGACTCATAGCAACCCTATGCATGGCAGAACGAAATGCCGCCCAGTCCTGAGCCAGCTCCATGATTTTTGCTACACTTGAACCCTTTGCCACCACCACCATGTCAATCCACTTTGTTGAGGGCCTTCCCCTCTTTCCTCAACCCTCCACCTTATCAAGCATGACATCTTTCTCCAGGGAGTGGTCCCTTCTGACAACATGACCAAAGTATGTGAGATGAAGTCTTGCCATTCTTGCCTCCAAGGAGCATTCTGTCTGCACTTCCTCCAGGATAGACCTGTTAGTTCTTTTAGCAGTTCACGGTACTTTCAACATTCTTCCCTCAACACCACAGCTCAAAAGCATCAACTCTTCTTCTGTCTTCCTTATTCATTGTCCAGCTCTCACATGCATATGAGATGACTGAAAGTACCATGGCTTGTGTCAGGCGCACATTAGTCCTCAAGGACATATCTTTACTCTTCAGCACTTGAAAGAGGTCCTTTGCAGCCAATTTGCAGTAAGCGTGGTCTTTTTTATGATTTTGAGTTTTGTTCTACATGTTCCCCTACTCTACCTGGGGCCTCCTATTTTCATCTCTTTCAGAGAGGCCAGCAGCGGCATCCAGGCGCCATCTAGTTTTTCTGGTCTCAGGATCATGGATGCTGGGGTTCATGTGGTCCATTAGTCCATTCAACTAATTGTTTCCTTGTGTCTTTGATTTTCTTCACTCTTGTTTGCTCCAGCCATGGAGAGACCAATAGTTGTAGCTTAGATGGCTGCTCACAAGCTTTTAAGACTTCAGTCACTGTTCATCAAAGTAGGATGTAGAACATTGTCTTTGTGGACTATGTTATGCCAGTTACCTTTAGCGTTCCCTGAGATTGTCATCCTGAGCCCCATGCCCACCAACCCATTCCTTCAAGGTGTGCAGTTATGGCTAAGAAGTTTTCATAACTTTGCCCCCTGTATGCTGTACTACACTCATGGGTATATTTGCAGTATGTGTAAATACATAAAGATATCCTCTGTCAAACCTACATATATTAATGGGGGTAGTCCCATTTGCTTCTGCACCCATGTTCATCTTGAGTGTCTATGTGTCCACTCATGGATAATTGTTATTACTGTTATTGTAGGATTATATATGTAATAGTATTAACTTTTATTGCCTTTGACTCCTCGCTGTGCTTTCCACTGCCTTGATCATTTGTGCTAACCTCCCCTTTATTGTAGAAACATCTCATTGGGTATTCTGTCAATTCCTGGAGCCTTATTTTTTGACAATTCCTTCAGTGCAGTTTGGACTTCTTCCTTTAGTACCATCAGTTCTTTTTTTTTTTTTTTTTTATTAGGATTTGGGTGAAGATTTACAGAGTAAATTCACTTTTCATACAGCAGTTCACATATACTTTGTCTCATGTCATTGACCAAAA